AACTGTAGAAAAAGAAGTGTTAAGGGGTGTAATAAGCATGTCCCTACGCTTTGTGAAACCTAGTGCATTTGCATTGGTTTAGGAGTTTGTATTCTGCTGCTTTCATGCTTGCATTTAAGGAGAAGGAATAACATAGTGTTTGCTTTCAGCGTGCTAAGATAAGAAGAAAGTGAAAAAAATATAAAGCCTGAAAGAAAGCAGGGTTGTGTGGGCTCTGTTATCAGCCTGAACAACAGGCGTTTGAAAAGATGCTGTTCGGTCATTTCAATGTTAAGCTATGAGACAAACTGCTTAAACTTGTCCCCATGAATACTGTAATCTGCTCTTCCTTATCCCAAAACTCCCTACAAACCCTATATTGTACATGACAGTCTAAAATATGAGCACATGAGTATTGCATAAGAGATGATGGCATTAAATTAAATATTAAAGAATTATTATTTATCTGTTTGCATTTAAGCAAAATTGATTCAACATTTACAATATGTGAAGCTATGAATTAATGCAGCGTTTCTCTGACAAGAACCATCACATATTCCTGCGGATGCCACGTATCAGTGAACATGGAAGTTTCCTACTTAAATGAGTTTTAGTCAGTTTCTATTAATAAGGGTTTCCAAAACTGAGAACAAAAAAGGTTCATATGACATTACAAACACTTCTGACAGCCTTTCATTCAGTGCCCTTCTGAAGCTGCCAGAAGCTCTCCCTAGCAAACTTCTGTTAGGAATGCCATCTCGTGGTTAAAAGCTGTATATAATGACTCCAGGTAAACATCACTCCATTTTCATTGCAAAACACCATTTATGCAGAAATGAGCTATTCCTACATGACCTTTCAAACTGTACAGTTTATTAACAATTTATTCATCTATAATTAACCATTCTGAATGAAAATGTCTGTGAATATGGATTTTCCTTCCCCATCTGTATACAATGCTAATTAACTATGCCGAGAACAGTCATGTCATTAGGAGATGGTGTGCATTAGCATTTTAAATAGAACTGGGTTGCTACATGCACTTAGCAAAAAGTCCACTACATGCTTGTCTATTTAGATGTAATTTAGGGAATTAGTTTGAAATGTAAGAAAATTCAAGCATTTTTCTCAAAATGCTTCTAAAGAAGAACCCTTTGAACACTCTACCTTCTCTAAGCTTCATGGGATCTCTTCAGTTGGATACAGAAGTAGAACTACAAAAACGAAACACTGGATGTTCCGATTTGTTTTATACAGATCTTACTGTGAGCTGGACATGAATTGAAAATGGCTGTTGGATCCCAAATTGCTCACAAAAGCATGGAGAAATGACAAGTAAACAAGAATAGAAAGAAGGGGACCAAAAGCGTCTAATAATCCTTCAGAGATCTGTGACTTAGAAAAGCTTATAAAGATGAATAATCAATAGCCACATTCAATACAGCTGACATTTTCGTAGACAATTCCCTGCCAGCTATGCTCGCGTAATTTTCATAATAAAAGTATGTATTGCACAAATCATCACAACATGCATCGTATAATGAAATTTAAAACTAATGAGCCATATCCTAATAGCCATAAGTCAAGTCAGGATGTGCATTAGTAGACCATTTGCAATTCTCCAGTGACAGCGCAAGGCTAAACATATCCAGAAGCCCATTTATAGCACAGTTTGTTCTGCATACCGATAACACTAACAGAGATATGAAATGAGTTTGCAACCTCTAACGTTCAGCCAGGCCTCCATGAAACATCGGTCATACAGCTGCTGCCATGCAGGCCACTCCTGGGACAGCTCAGATGGACTGCTCTGATCACTTACATCAACCTCTTGCTTAACGTGGATCTGGCTTGCTTTAGTCCTCTATCAAATTACATTTTTTCAGAAATTCATGCAGTACTTTCAGCTTAGAGAAACCTTTTCCATCCTGTGAACCTCTTTTACCTCTTGCGACTTGTCCAAGTCTATTCAGTTACTGAAGCACTCCTCTGTTTGACTGAAGAGACCTTTACTTCATTAACAAACCTTTGCTTAAAAGCTTATTCTTCCATGCTCTCATTACAGTAAGCAGATCCTGCTTACCAAGACAATAGTGACAGTGCTTCTTAAAAATTCTTTCATTGCTGTTATGACTCTTTTGTCCAGTTCTGCAGCCTTAGTGAAAGCTGTGGTTACTGCAGTTGGGCGTAGCATTCTTGTAAAAGGTTCTATGAGAGTGAAGTGCAGTCAGCAATATAAGCTCCCTGACAGCATTCTCCTTTTGAAACCTGAGGATCTCACCAGGCATTCTGGGCACAAGACATGCTGACAGATGCATGTTCAGTTGGGAAAGCTCAAGCTTGCTGTCTCCAGACATTTTCCCACTGAGTATTTCCTGCAGCGTGATGGTCTATTTGGAAAGAATGGCCTCAAAGCTTTGTTTTTAGAGACATGGATCTACTCCAGGCCACGGTGAAATGCAGGTTGAGAGGAGAGTTATGGAGATCATCAGAGGGCTGGAGCACCTCCCCTGCACAGACAGGCTGAGGGAGATGGGTTTTTTCAGCCTGGAGAAGAGAAGGCTGTGAGGAGTCACATTACAGCCTTCCAGTATTTAAAGGGGATTAAAAACAGGAGGAGAATTAACTTTTTACTCAAGTATACAGCGATAGGACAAAGGGGAATGGTTTTAAGCTCAAGGAAGGAATGTTTAGATTGGATGTTTTTTGCAGAGGGAATGGTGAGGTGCTGGAACAGGCTGCCCTGAGAGGTTGTGGATGCTCCATTTCTGGAGGTGTTCAAGACCAGGTTGGATGGGGCCCTGGGCAGCCTGCTTTAGTGCCAGATCTGGAGGTTGGTGGCCCTGCCTGCGGCAGGGAGGTTGGAACTTGATGAGCCTTCAGGTCCTTTGCAACCCAAGCCATTCTATGATTCTGTGATGTCACTACTTTCTGCCAAATAATTCATCTTATCCTGCTTAAGTGGCTCCTCAGGATTTAAAATTTGTGGCGTTCACAAACTTGAACAGTAACTGTTGCATTTCCTCTGTGTAGTTCAATTACTGTATGTCTAGTTTTTGTGTAAACACATGAAAGAGCACATCTCATGAGATTAAAGCACATCAAATTCTGAAACCACCTCTTTCAGAGGACTTCCTTTATATCACAAATTGGTAAGGACTTAAGAATATATTTGCAAGGAAAATGCTATAGTGTGGATCCTGCAGTATTTATTTAGAAAAAATGCAGTGTACACAAACAACTATAGGCATGCTTCAGGCATACCAAATGTGATCTGAATAACAATGCGCATTCTTGAAGTCTTCTAAGAGCAAACCTCATCTCCTGAAAAACAACAATCTTTCAGTCAGAGTTTCAACCCTTAAATATCGTTACCTTCAAAACATAAACAGCAGTTCTTTTTAAATTTTAAAACATTAAGAAAACAGAACTCTCTTCTGAAGTCAACTGAAACTGCTCTATTGACCCTTTACCTAAAAATCACTGTCACCCTGAGAAGCAGAGCTTTGACTTAAGGCAAGTAACCAGCAGCTGCTAAAACTGCAAGAAAAACAAAGTATTTTCCATATAAATATTTTTGTAACAAGAAGTATAAACAGTGGCATTACAAAGAGCTCCTTGTTACATCTGTCTTTAAGATTTTACATGTAGTAGTAGTGTTCAGCAAAGCAAACCAACAGAAACTAAGTTTAAATAAAGCTATGCTATTACAAAGTTGTGAGTATGCATACATACACATCTCTACCATTCTCCATAAACCCAGCTTACATTTGTTTAGACTGCAACATCTTGTCTTCAAGCAAATAGGAGCAAATGTGTACATTAATCCCAAATAGCTTTAAGAATCCTACTGACCATCAGAATGTACATGTGCTTCTGTGCATCATTAGCGCATCATTTTTTCTTAGAGAAGTTAATAGCACACATTACACACACAGGCTGTTGTCATGCAGCGTCTGAAAAAGACAAAAACCAGCTCTCTGCTCACTCAATGGTGAGCTCACTCACTCACTCACTCAATGCCCTTTGAACCTTTCATTAAACTGGCAGCAAGGAAGAAAAAGTGCAATCACAGTGGCACAATGTTTGTTGAATGTATTTTGCTGAATGACATTCAGAGAAGCTGGGCTGGGAAAAGGTAAGAATTGCTTCCCTCATTGCCTTCTGTCCTCTTGGCCACTCTCCGCAGTGAGCACAGAGGAAGTTATTTGCTCCTCTCCCATTCCTTCAGGCCCAGGGAGTCAAAGTGAGACAGAGGAATGTGTGCTGCAGCTTCCACAACAGAGTCAGCACCTGGGTACAAACACCACAGCTTTGGGATCACGACACTACTGCAGTGTCTCATGGTACCCAGTACTAGAACAGAAGTAGTGCGGCACACGGTGCGTTTCATGTATGATGAAGTTCAGTTATTACGTTTCCTAAACAATGCAATTAAGCAAGTATTGTACTGTTAAGACATTTTCAGAAGTGCAACTAATATTTCACATGCTCTTTAATCACTACCTTTGTGTATTTCAGCTTCACAAAATCCCTTAAGTACAGCTGAGTTCTTACAGAGTTCATGTAACCATATCAACCCTTTATATTTTCATACCATGTCAAACATTGTAAATAGGAATTTTATTAATACTTTCCCCTTCAAACCAAGTTTGAGCTACAGCCATGAACTTTGAAATATTGATTGCTTGAGTCATGCCAAAATAGATCTTGTTAGATATGTTGCTTAGTTGTTACTATCTAAAAATCAGTTAATTCCAGGTAGGTCAGAGTCTTCTAGCCTAATCTTTTTTAGAACCTCAGCTTTTCTCTTTCAAGTGCTTCCTACGAAAACAAGCTTGTCTTTGGAAGTACTTCAAGAATTGCATTGCAACTGCGTGTGACAAAGTGCCTTACGGTAACATAAAACACTAAGCTTCATGGAACCAAGTAGTACAGAATTTCCCCAAGTCCTTACACTGAAACCCATTCCCATCTCAGTAATGGAAACCTGACTTTTTTTAAAAAAAAAAAAAAAAAAAAAACTTTAGAAATTTAGAACTCATGTATTGTAGTGTTACACTTGGGACTAATGTAAGAACCAAAGTGATAAATTCAGAAATGCAAAGTAGATGGACTCTAATCACCAACACATTGCTTCTTTTTTGGCAGTATACTTACACAACATTTTAAAATCATATATTCTATGATCATTCTCATGTTAGAAAAAGATTTTCTGAAGTTACTGCAGAAATAAGGTCTGAACAAAAAAAGTAATGTGACAGATCTTGGAAGGGCATCCAAAAATGGCAGCACCCAAAAAGCTATTTGGTCACTCACACCTTTATCAGCTACATATAACTTTATTATACAACATATTCACCGTGGCAAATGCACATCATGTTGGGTCTTTCAGTTTACAATGGAACATTACATAAATGGAGAATTTTTTCAAGTAGTTTGCTGAATAGTGTTTTCTGCACCTCTGATGTGGCAGGAAGTACAAGCAGACACACAACAGAAGGGAAGGCATGATTCTACGTGCACTGTTTTGTCTCTATATTTTGGCAAGAGATCAAGTCCTGACATAAACGAGATGCTGCTTCTCAAAGAGGCAAAATGTCACCAATTACCACCTCTCTTGCCAATACCTTTCTCCTTCTGAATCTTGGTGTACACACTCCCATCTGACTTCTCCCAGTTCTCTACCTGTAACTGGCTGCCAATCACAACTTGCCAATACCTTATCTTAGTATTTCTCATAGCATGAAATGTAGATATATTTCCTGCTCTTGATAAATATAGTCCACAATTAGCAGAGTAAGATTGCCCACAACCATACAATCTCCTCAGGCAATACACTCTATTTTTTTTTAAATTAAAAAATAAAACAACTAAAAAAAAACAACCAGCACAGAGCCTGTCATTAGCACAGACAGACTGTTAGCAGAGACCTACTTCAGGCTGCACAATGAATACCTCTGATGCTATTGCATTTGCCAGGCATTGAAGTTCATCCTTCACTTTACTTGATGAGCTACCAAGACCTCTGAGACACTTCTTCGCTGTAATTCATGCAAAGACAGAATGTTGAGAACATTATCTAAAAAATGTACACATGTCAACAGAAGGAATTAGAAAAAGAAAGCTATATGAACTCTATGAAAAAAATAGAATACAATAAATAAATGTAAATAAATACTTAAGTTTAGATCTTATCTAGGAAGACTGATGCTAACACTAGTCAATAGCATTAAAGAAGTATTCTAATGTCAAAAAGTTAAACTAGAAAAGATCTAGAAAAGACTACTGGCACACTAGAGGATGAGCTGTATCTCAAAAGTTATAAATATTAAAGAAAGGACACCATCAATATGCAGAAAAACATCTGGAAGGAATAAGAAAGATGTCTGAAAAACAAAATAACCAGATGTTTTGCACAAATGTTGGCTTCACAAAACATAAAAAGAACATCATACAAGAAAGTAGCATACCATAAAATAACACAGTTCAAAGATTAACAGAATACGTATGCTTTAATCTTTATAGTGAAATCACACTTCACTGGTAATATCTGAGCATCATCGCTACCTTACTGTGTTTTGGCGTCCTAAGTGAAGTGAGTTAAACTTTAATTGATCTCCTCCTGGTCAGGTGATCTCATCATTCTTGCCACAAAACTAGAGCCGTTAGCTTCAGGTCAGACTTCATTACCTCCCTCCTTCAGGGGAGAATGCTTCAGCTTGTGAAGGAGACAGTGCTACCAAGAAAAACCTGCTATGCTGCTGTCCCTAAGGCACTGCAAGAACACTCCAAGCTTCCAGTCTCTCCATTCAGAACTGTTCCGCGCTACTAGAAATCTCACATGCATAAGAATAAGAATACTGCTGAAGATCAGACAATTGAGTATACAGCTGTGGATGTTACGCTGTGAACTGGACACAGGCCAGATAAATCATGACTTTATTAAAACATGCAGTTTGTCAGGGTACCACAAATGACACAGTATACATCCGACCGGTTGCTCAGAAAACTTTCATAAAATGATTTTGAATTAAGGTTTCTATACAAGACATCAACATACTTAAATCAGCAGCACAGACCCGGTGACCCTCATTCTCATTCTTTTTCAGGGTCGCTAATAGGCCCCAGTGGACTGGAGGCAGAGGGCTGTAAGAACTCAGCAAGTGAAGCTGACTTAATGGGTTTTGTTTTATTTCTGTAATCCTCAAGGCCCTCAAGATAGCAGGTGCAAACTTAGAATAATGAGCTGTAGATGAAATAATAATTGGACAAGTTCTATCTTGTAATCGATCTGCAACTACTTTAGCAACAGCTGTGTGTGTATCCAGAATATATCCTGTAGTGCTGTAGACAGAGTGAATGGCAGCAAGGCAGTCTTCCTCAGAGCACCACCCAGCCACCAAGTCCCGCTGAAGCTTCTCAAGTAGGTCTTTCTGCAGGCAAAAGTGGCCCTGATTTTCCAGCCAGTTATATAACTGCGTCACCAGCTGTCCATCACCATCAGCAATCAGGTGCAAGTATCGCTCAAGATTGGAGGACTTCAAAATATCCACTGCTGGTGAAAAAGTTGGAACTAATTTTCTTCCCCTCAAATCATAAATACCTGTTCTTATAAAGTCTGTCAAAACATTGTTTTCATTGGAAGCACAAATGCATTTTCTAATAGGGATTCCCATCATTTTGGCATACAAGGCAGCCAATATATTGCCAAAGTTCCCTGTAGGAATGCAAACATCTACGGGGTCTCCAAACGTAATAACACCTTGATGAACAAGATCGAGGTATGCAGAGGCATGGTAAACCACCTGAGGAAGCAATCGTGCCCAGTTTATGGAGTTTGCTGCTGCTAAAGCAGTGCCATACTCTACTGTAAGATAGCCAGTATAATCCGAGTTGGTAAAGATTTTCTTCATAGCAGTCTGGCAAAAATCAAAATCAGATTTGACACCTACTGACCAGGCATTCTCTTTCTGACAACCAATCATCTGTGATTTTTGAATTGGGCTTATTCCATCTTCAGGAAAAAAACTCATCACAGCAATTCTCTGTTTGTCAGTGTCATGGAGACGACTAAAGCCATCTAAGACAGCGCTCCCTGTGTCACCAGAAGTAGCTACCAGAACCAAGTAATTGCAGCTCCTGGGAATGCAGTACGCGAATATATGTGGCATCATCTGCAACGCAAGATCTTTAAATGAAGCCGTTGGTCCATGAAATAACTCAAGGAGAAACTGATTGCCTGTCAAATGTCTAACTGGGGCAATTTTAGAACAAGTAAAGTTTTCTCCATATGCAGTTCCAATAATTTCTCTCAGTTTAAAAGCAGGAATGTCTGCAGGATGTATGCATCTCTCTAGTATCACCTGGGCTCTTTCAGCATAAGTTGCTCCTATTAGAGTTTGCCATTCTTCAGCAGTCAACACTGGAAGTCCTCTCTCAGGGACAAAAAGTCCTCCATCTGAGGCTAAGCCTTCAACAACAACATCACTGAAATACTTGTGAGAGTTCTTTTGTGTACTCCTAGTTGAAACATAAGTTTCCACTTCTGAGTTTTGGTATCTCTTCACAGCATCAAGCACCTTTTCTGCTACAACCTCTGCTGCCATATTGCCCCCACAAAGAACACGAACATCGTACCACCTTTTGTAGAACTGCTTCCTAAACTGAAGTATGTCCTTAAGAGAAGCAGCAGGACCCTGGCCCACAATGCGATCCACTTTCATTGACTTCAGCCGACTCATAATGACCACTGTGGGCACATCAAGATACACAACTATTCCATTTCTTTTCACATGCTGCATGCCAGCAGTGTGCATTGGATTGGACCCAGTAAGGGAAATGACACTTCCAGATGCTGAAAACCTCAAAAGGGCTTTTCCTTCCTCCTCTAAAAATTGCTCATTACCAACATCCTGCAGTTTTTCTGACACACTCATATTCCAGGTTCTTTCAAGGACATCATCATCTATATCTATGACAGGGCAATCTAGTTTCTGACCTACTATTCTCCCAACTGTTGTTTTCCCAGCACCAGGAGGTCCCATCAGGATAATATTCTTATTTCCAACAAGAGAATGGCTTGAGAACCATGACTTTGATATCCGTTCCAATGTTACCAGTCTTGAAAACATCAGCTTTAAACAAATTTTAGAAAGACTGTTTTGGGTTATCAGTCTCCAAGGTTGATACTGAATAGTGTGAAACATCTTCTGCCGCTTTGTTTTTCTTTGTTTGTTTGTTTGTTTTTCTTTCAAGCCACCTTGTCAGCCCACTGAACTGATTCAAAAAGAAAAAAATAGCAATTAGTTCTTCAATAAACATCTTGGAAAAAAACCAAAACCTAAAGGATATAAAGTTGAAAACAACAACAATTAAAACACAAACCTACTTATGACTTTGTCAGTGATAGGAGGTACGTATTTTTCAAAATAAGATCATCCATTCCATTCCTACTACATAGCTCCAGCTCGGCTTCACTGACAAACCTAACTTCAAACAGACCTTGCCTTCAGGTTAAATAAGGATACCCAGGCCTAGCACTACAATACTATTTGCATATAATATTGTTAACAAAAATTAAAATTCAAGTTTTTTTTTTTTTATCAAATAGACTTACTTAAAAGTACAAATTCATAAACAACGAAAGTTAACTAAAGCACCTCCATGTAATTACAATACTGAAGTATGTTCCCCAATTTCAAGACATCTTTATTTTCTAAAAACAAAATAAAACAAAACAAAAACCACCACAAATGAAATACCCACCTACATACAACAAAAACTCACAGACTTGTGCAACAGTAAGGATGGAAGAGTTGCATCCAGCTGTCTTCTGATGGAATGACAGAGCAAGCAATTTGTGAAGAGCTCCTACAATGGAATTGTATTGGATGTGGTTTGTGCAAAGCGAGAGAAAGACATCATGAAAACACTCCACTCCCAAAAGCACATTAAAGATTCACCAGGAAAGCAGCATTCTCAATACAGATTAAACAAGACACACTCAATGTGTTTTTTTGTTTGCTTAGAGAAATCACTGCCAACACGACTGGAGTTGCAAACCACAATTTGTTTGTTATGTTCAAGGCCACAGGGTGAAGGACTCTCAGAATCTCAATAAAGGAGGGAGGCTGGGTGAGAAAAATCAGCACTAATTTGCACAAAAATCCAAATAGAGTCATTTTTCATTTTAAATAATAATAACAAAGTGATACTTGTTTGCCTATTTCTTCACTGCTCATGTCTGAAAATGTTTGAAGAAGAACAACAAAGAATTTCCCTTAGGAAATTAATATAACTATATGATCACTCATCAATTCTTTAAATTAATATATATATACACATGTATATATAAATACATACATAAAATCACATTTTTTTTGAAGACTTATTTTAGCTGTTACAGCACGCAGGACAGAGATGGCTGACAACAATGCAAGCAGTATTTCTTTTTCCCACCCTCCTGGCAGTGTAACACCTAACCAAAACTGCAATCAGCTATTTCTAATAACTATATCAATCTAGCTGCTAGCATTCCATCTAGCAGCTGGATGGGTGCAACACACTGCAGCAATATTTCTCAGCTTTATCAGCTACTCAGACCAGAAAAATATTTTTTAGTGACAAAGTGTTTCCCTGTGTTAGTCATAACAGACTCAATAGAACAAATACAGGAACTCATTTTAGAGTAAGTCACCAAACCTTTCACAGAGCTTTTCCTCTAGACAGTTTTGAAACCAACAGTGCTTTACCACTACAGAGCACAGAAGATGACACAGAGTTGTATAAGACTGGTGAGAATCAAATGTACTGTAACACCTTCCAGTGACCTACCAATGGTTAAACCATGTTTAGTTACCACAGGAGCCCTTTAAGACCCTGGCCTACCTCATCAGAATGCGTAGTATGGAATGATCCTAGAGACACAGGTCACTCCAACTTTAAAAGTAACATGGAGGCCCAAGTTTTCTCAGAGCAAACCACAGAGATCTTCACTTTCAGGTGCTCCTCACTCTAGATTCTGCTATGTGTTCTAAATCTCTTTCATGCTCTGCTTTCTTTACCAAACTATTTCTACTATTTGTGTTTCAAAATCAAAGTGTTTCCAATTATTCAGATCTTTCCATTTTGCTTACTTCTGTATGGAGAGATAAGCTTAAAAGCAAGTGCCCTAAATATCATTACATTCGGTGTCTGCAGCCTGTACGTGATAAGCATGCTGTAACTGCAAGGTATAAACCAGAGTAAAGATGGGCACTTCATACTGCATAGTTTTTTCTAATCCTTCTAAAGTATAAGGGAATATGTAGGTGCAACAAAGTTTTCTGCAACTATTTAAAAGGAAAAAAAAAAAAATCTTTCAAGAGTATTTGTAATATTCAGTGTCATTATAAAGTTGTTCTGTAATGGCAACGCACTGAAGTGAATATACACATACAGTTAACAGGGTCAGAAAGTGATACTTAAGCTTCCAAATATGAATATGTTCAAGATATTTAAAAAAAAAAAAAAAAAAAAAAAAAAAAAAAAAAGACAATATTTTAGTGATTTTAATTTTTGAGCATAATAGTTTCAAACCTTATTTACAAACAAAGGGCATACAAATCATGTCTGCACCTCTAGTTGTACTCCAGAAGCGTTTTGCAGTGCACAGTACTTAGTACACAACACAGCTGCAGGACAGAACATCCAAACTGCTTTATGAATCTAGGACACAGGAACACAAAACCCTCAAAAATTAGTGCTGCAGGCAAGGAAGGAACTAGACACAGACTTCTCTGATTATATACTTGCCATATTTGCATATGGTTACAAGCAGTCTGTGAGGCTGCCTGAAATCAACTCTGTAAACCTGATGCAAGAATGTGCATGGAATTTTATTCAGCTGCTTGGTTTAATCTATCACAGTTTCACCCAATCTTGCACCAATATAAAGTATTACAAGAATGAAGATACGAAGATTTTAAAAGAACAGTTCAATAATTGCAAGCTTTTCTTTTTATTATGTAAAAAACTTTTTACTATGTACTAAGAAGAAGCTTGCAATTATTGAACTGCTCTTTTAAAATCATTTTTATTCTTGTGGCAGGGCTTTACTGTGAAAATGGTGAGAATTAGACTTCATGTCTAGCAGTTCATCAGTCCAGTAAGAGCACCAAACCAATCACCTTCAGCTACAGCTACTTGTGCCAGCAGGCTTTAGGGGTGAGAGGGTGTTGTACTGAAGCAGAGCTTATACCTGTACCTCCAATGAAATCAAGTTCTGACAGTACACGTCAACCTTCCACTTGGAGGGCTGAAGGCCCCTACGTATACTTGCAGATGTACACAATTTAAACAACGATTAATGATGACAGGAGTTACAGTGAAAACTGCTCTTAGCTACCAGAGTAGACACAAAGTCTGCAAAGACACAACGTATGGTTAAAATCCAAAGATCAAACAAGTCAGTGATGGCTGTTGGAGAACTCAAGGTAGATCAAGACAAATCGTTATCATGCTTCAGAGCTTCCAATACACACACACACAAAAAAAAATAACCTCCCCTTGCCTTTTCTCAGAATTTCAACCTTCCCATGATCACCCCACAGCCCAAAATGCAGAGATGGTATTTAAAAAAAAAGAAGGCAAATGTGTGAAATCAACCTCTGCACCTCGTTTCTGCAAAAGCCTTAAAGGAGGGTGAGAAGTCCTACCAGTTACCAAGTGTAAAAGCCAGGTCACAGCAGCAGATGAGCAACCACAGCAGTTGCAACTGGTGCAGGGGAAAGGATCACTTTCGAACTACACCAGCAGCTGCAGCGCTGACAAAACCGTGCAGCGAACGAGGCAGGAACGTTCTGGGGACAGATCTGAGCTGCCATAAGGATTCCCACTCTGCGGCAGCCAGACACCTGCTAAAGCTTTCCAGAACATCAGTGGGCACTCAAATATCTTTAGGAGCCTCGCTCATCTGCAGGAAGGGGTCGAGCTCATTTCCGAGCGTGAGATCTGTAAAACAGAACGAACACAAAAAAGGAAGCCCCGATCCGATCTCGGGACACAGCGGAGCTGCCGCCGCGTGCCACGCAACCGCAGCGCACCGCTGAGGGAGCCCCGAGCTGCCCTGACCGGCCCGGCCACTGGGGAACGCGCCGTCCCGACACCTCGAAGGCGCCGAAGCGCGGACAGGAGGTTGGGTACGGACGGATCGCAAAACACGGCTGAGCTGGACACCACGGAGCCAGCCCGGCCGCAGCTCACCGCCCCCTCCCACTGCTCGGCCAACGCAGCCCTAGACTTCCCCAACCCTCGGGAGTAGCAGCGGCAAAACCTTTGTTTCGCCCTGTCCTGCCCGGCCCGCGGCTCGGCCCGTCGCGGCTCAGCCCCGCTCCCCACAGGCGCCCCTCAGCGCCCACGTACCGGCGAAGCGGGGCGGGGCCCTCAGGTACCGCACGCACCCCACAAGCGCGCCTCCACCGCCCGCACTGCGCACGCGCAGCCCTCACCGCCCGCCCACAGCTTTGTCGGCTTCAGCTCTGCCAAGCGCGCTTGCGCAGCCGCGCGACGCGTCGCGTCCGCCCGGCTGTCGCCTCCCGCCAAAGGAGGGGGGCGGAAAAGAGGTGGCGCGGCCCCGCCTCTCGTGGCGCTGTCGCCTAGCAACGCGGCTCCTTGGCGACGGCGGCAGCGTGAGGGCCGCGGTCGGCCCGGCGGCAGCCTCAAGCGAGGGGTGTAAGGCGGGAGCGGACGGAGGATGGCGGCCCAGGAGAGCGTGTATAACCTCCTGCCTCGGCTGGAGGAGAAGCCCGTCAAACCGCCCAGGTACGTGGGGATGTAAAGCACTGTGACCGGTTCTGGCAAGGCACTAAAGTCTGCGGATATGGTTGGGTGTGTTGGGTATGGGCATGGGTATGGGTATGGGTTGAGCATGGGTATGGGCATGGATTGTCTGTGTGAGGCAGAGCTGAAGTTTAGCAGGGAGGTTATGGGAGTGGTGGCATTTGGAAAGATACAAAATGGAATAGCATGGTCTTTTGTTGTGACCTTTTCTGACCTTTAACTTCTTCACGCCTGTTTTTTAACATCAAAGGTATATATCGACATTTAGGCCGTCTGTGAAGCTTGAAATAGAACGAAGTAAAGCACAGTGGAAAACTATGGGGCCAGCAAAAGTTGCGGTGCCATCTCCAACAAACTTTCTGAAGAAACACTCCAAGGAACCCACTTTACCAGCAAGTGAGTGTGTGCATTGATCACATGAAAGGCATGGTGTTCTTTCTCAGCTGCAGCCATTTAAAGACTGAAGCTGTGTTGACAGCATGATCTGTCCTTCTGATACCTCAGTTTGCAGTTACAAAATTTAGATTTGTATGTCATTCTTTCCTGCAACTGATCTTTAGTAATCAAGTATATAATATTAGCAGGCATATTAAAAGTGAACTAATTGTTTGTAATGCTTGAAGTTATTTAGGTAAATACATATATTTGTCTTGATCATCACCAACATAAAGCTTTTCAGTATTCACTGTTGCCTTTTAATCCTGTGGCATTGAATTGACTAGCATTGTCCAAAGTGTAGAACATTTTTTGGAGAGCTGTATGCCACAGTAATAAGAAAACTGGAATATTTTAAAGAGCCAGTTTTTTTCCACCACCCTATCTTCAGGCATAATCAAACACACCAAACAAACAAACAGAAAAACAGAAGAGCTTAAAGTACCATATTAAAAAAATGCCATCTAAGAGAATATGTGGGTCAGCACCAAAGCATATGTAGTACATGCAAATGACTTTAGTGTTGAAAATACAGGCTATGACGGGAGCCTTTGGAGGTGTACTGCCTCAGGTGATATGAATTATCAGAACCTTAAGGTAAGTTTTGGTCCCTGAGGTCCTGTAGGTATTGTAGGTGGTTTTTACCAAAGATCATCTCTTTTTCAGGAAAGCTGAACAACATTCAGTTACTGGAATGTAATGCTTCATGGCATCTGATCATTAATGCTTTCAAGATCAAGAACTTGTTAAATTGCTGCACGCATGTGTTAGATGAACATAAGAATGTTGATTCACCAATAACTTGGAGCAGTCCATGATGTTCCTTTTAAATACTTTTTTTTAAAGTACTTTTAAGTATTGCAAAATTTCTGCTAACTCCTACAAACTGACTATGTTTTGGCATTCAGCACTCTGTTCTATTTTTCTCATAAGAACAATTTAAAATATTTTTATCTCAACTTGCTAATTCAGGACTTCATTAAAAATAACACGTACTGGTGTGTTTGCATTTAGAATTGATATACCATAGCCTCAGAATGGCTGTGACACATCGTAGCTACTATTCAGACTGGTAATCTCATTGCTGTGATTAGATCATAACAGGTTTTGAGAACAAGGTACATCTTTAACTCAGAAAATTCTTGTACTTGTGTTGAATGGAGTTTCATACTTACATCAGAAAACTTACATTGCTTACTGACCTCTTTTTAATGCATGGCACTTTCATCACTTGGAACTTAACCAGTTATCATCTGTGGGATTATGGCATTTTTTTAAATGATTCCTATGCCATCTTGAAAATTGGGTTTGATCTGTCTAGTTAAAAAGTAGATGGTAAAGTCAAAGCAGAAAGATTGTTCTTTTTTTCCCCCCTAAAGTCTAGGATAATGTCATTCTTGGAGAGTTTGATTACCCAGTAAGTAACTCCTTAAAAAAAAGGTATGTTTCCTAATCTACTTGTCTGGTTATATTACTGGTTCGTCTGGTTGTATTACTGATTTCTGGCATTCATTTTAATCAAACTGTGTTACTGGCTGCGGAATGGGGGCTCCCAAAACATCATTTGTGCACCAGTGTTATGCAGGTCAGGGTGAGCAAGTGCTCACTGAGAAGACCAAATTCCAAAATGGTGTCCTTAGAGAATCAGATTTAAATCTGTGTTCTACAGTACAAAATTATGGAAAGCTTTCCAAACAAACTCAGAAAAGCACTGGTTTGTAGGGTCAGCATCAGGAAGCCAGCTGTTGTAGGAATGTACTCTTACATATTAATGTAAGTTGGAGTTCCGTCTGCTGGGAAATATGGTGGGAAATGAGTTGTCTTTCATCACTCAACTGAATTGGCAGTACTTCGGGGACTAGCAACTTTCTGTTGGTGTGTTGGAGAGATTACACCAAAAAGGAAGGGTTCCTGCATTCTTTGGAGAAAGGAGGGTAAGAAGCAATATTATGGAAGAGCAGGAGTAGTGCCACTCCTTAAGGGAGGCCAGGAATTAAGGGTGACCTAAAAATGACCTCACCAACAGGAGCAGATTCACCACAGCAGAAGCATGAAAGCAAAGCAGAGCAGTGATGGAAATGAGTGAGTGAAGATGAGTCAGTGGCCTGGTGATTATCAGACAAGACAAGGTAGCAGGCCAGGTCCGTCCACTGATTCTACAAGACACTTCAGGAGTCTAGGGGCAGGCACACCTGAGCTAGATGAGCTAGGGACTGACTGCCCAGGGCTGGGCTGAAATGAGGTGCGTTGAATGATGCTGGTCAGGACCAGTGAGCTCAGAGTCCTGATAGTGAGCACCTCTGATAAAAACAGTTTTCATTACATCTTATAAGTCCTGTGCCACTACAGTTAAGGAGTACATTGAGTGGCGTATTATTTGGAAAACTTATCTACAAAACAACACAGGATTTCCTAAACTAATTAAGCTTCAATTATTCCCAACAAGCATATTAGTTTTTATTATAGTACTTTCCCAGTTTACAGTACAATCCCAGTCAGTCCTTTCACTGTAGTTACAGCTGCTTTCTACTTCATGTAATTTTGTGCATAATTTTGTGCATAATTTTTCTCTTTTTAAACTGCAAAGCTCTATAGAGTTATTGCTGAGAATGTTTACATGCTCAATTCACAGGAAAAAAAGAACAGGAGAGTAGGAAACTGCCTGCATTATCAGTACCACGGAGGACAGATCGCCCAGTTATGGGAATTCAGAGTAAAAAGAATTTTATAAAAACAAATGCAGTTGCTGCTATCACAGGATTGCCTAAAAAGCCTCAACATATTTATGTTGATAGAAGACAGGGAGACAAATACTTGCTTGAAACTTCAGGACTTGTTCCAAAATATATTAAGAAAAAGGTAAGTAAGTTTTATTAAATTATAGTGAAAGTACTAGTAGTGAGGCCTGTTTTAGATTCTCTATTTCTTTCTCCTATTGAATGTTTAAGATTTTTTTTTTTTTTGAGATATTTTAATATCACTGCTGCTTATGGTAGGCCTATGAAATTGATGAAGGAGAAATCACTGGCAGTAGAGTACTGCCTTTCCTTTGCTCTGTATTCACTTGCTTACGCTCAGCAAAAATGTGGCAGAATGTTGCTGCTAAACCAATAACAAATGTGTTGTGTTCTGCATTGGGATCTCTTGGAGTATCCAATAAGGACACACAGAGCCAGTTTCTTCAGCTTCTGCTCATGTAACAGTCTTTCCAAGGTGCTAATGGAGAGATGGGATCCATTGAGCAAAGTGGGTGAGGACATTTTAGTCAACAGCCCTGCTAACCTTCTAAAAGGTATTTTAACTGAAGTGTGGTAATAAAAGTTTACAGTTTAATGAAGGAACACAGATCAGTATGGCAAGTACATAGGTAAGGATAGTGAATTGTGAAGGACAACAGCAGTTCATTCATAGCCAAGTTATGCAAAAAGAGACATGATGTGTGACACAGCTTGTCACAGGGAAGATGCAGAAAAATGAAGCAGCAGTCCTTGCAGAACCTCTGCATGGCTAACGTAATCAAGAGCACTACTCAACACTGAAAAATTTGTGAATCATCTAGCATTTGTTTGAAAGAAGGTATATTCTGTGTGTTCCCCAAGTGTGTCTGTGATATCCAGAAAAGATTTTTCCTCTCAGAAACACAGATCTGCTGTAGCCATTATGAGATAGTCTGTCATTCCTCTCCAGTTCACATTGTGCCATATCTTTGGCATGCAATGTTTTAGCAGAAATCCAAATACAGGAAGACCTTTCAATGACAGTATCCAAGGAATGTGGACAGTAGAACTTAATGCCATGTGAGAAAATTTTAAGTAGCCTGCTGTCATGAACAAATTTCAGACTTTTCACTCAAACATCAGTTTGTATAAATGTTTTGGTTTCTGAATTCTCTTCTGAGGTTGCGACAAAAATTTGAGGGAAATTGTTTATATATTTTCATAAGAATACGAAGAGGATCACATTTCATGCTTCCAAGAGCATGGTAATTTAAGATTCTATTCTTCTGTGGCACAAAATTCCTTTTCAGACTGTCTTTCTAAATGTGTTGCATTATATGTGACAGGTATGTATTTGTTTTCTTCTTAAAAGCACATTAGGACACTTTTTCCTTGTCGTTATAGGATTATGGTGTTACACCAAAATATGTAACCCAGAGAAGAGAAGAAATGAAGAAAGCTCAGAAAGAATATGAAAACAATGTTTTGGAGTATCTCAAGAAAAAAGCCATGAAACAGCTATCTGATGAAGAGAGAGAATGTCTACTGCAGGTGCATATTGTGATTTAGTGTAATTAGTAATGTGTGCATAAGATTAATAAGGCAATGTAAGTCCAAATAAATGATAAAAGCGTATTAGATTTTTAAGCAAAGCAAATGAGTGCCTACTTCTTCACTAGATGGAGCTACAGAACAGTTGTAAATTAAGCTGAAGGGAGCTGGTATCAGTTTTCAATTCAGTTAGGTTCGTATCCTCTTTAATGGCTTGGAATTTCAGCGAAGCTTCAAAGAAATGCAAAAAATCACAGATGTGGATCTGGAGACAGTTCTGACTCTCTACTTGTGAATCATTAAAAAAAAAACAGTTTTGTTGGTTTTTTTTTAGTAACAGTTTTTTTTTTTTTTTATGTACAATATCATTGCTACTGTTACACTTATTGGTAGTTTCTGTCTTCATTTTGTGACCTCACTGGCTAGAACATAAGGCCGTGCTTTGAATGTGGGAAAAACAGAGAATAGCACTAAACCTGATGTATTTGTAGAGCTATGACTGGAAAATTCCATTTGTCAAACTGTCTACGATACTATCTTTCAGAAAGTTTTTAGTGCACAAGTCTTTCTAAAATGAAATAATACTGTAAAAAGAAGTAGAAAAGTAGAAAAGAGAAAAAGTGGGAAGAAACATTTCAAAAATTATGTCCAGTTCTTAAACTGGTATTCATCATGACTACTTTTTAGGCAAACTTCCTATGAAAATTAGGTTTATGTTCCTGTGATATGTTTTTTAGTCTGTCCATCTGAAGCAAGTGAGCAGATGATGAACATCTGACTCACAGAGATCAATTGATTAATTAGCAAAATCCAAAATAGTAGCGACAGTGGTGTCTTTTATGCAACAGGCAGTAGATGCCTAGGGAGGAGTATGGGAGAGAAGCGAGAGTATTGTATTGATAGCAATAGAAAAAGTATAACAGCAGAGTTGAAGATGAAGATAGCAGGGAAGGTGTGAGACAAGCTGATGATGCAACAAATGAACTGTGCAGCAACAATATATCTGACAGGAGGCATGTGAGTTTTGCTGCTCACAAGTCTAATTTTGTTTGATCATGTTCCATATTTTTCAGATACAACATTGAGCAGAAATCTTTTTTTATTAAAAAACAAAAGATTATTTTTGTTAACTCAGCAGTTTCTTCTGATTTTTTCAAAAACGCTTGCTCATTCTTGGCTCAGATTACTTATATCAGTTCTGTTGTCAGGAGGAATTAATGTCCCCAGAGTATGTGACTCCTACTTGGCGCTCAGCTGAGGACTTGTGGGAAATCCTGTCTTTTAAAGTAATTGACATAGATATTGAACAAGTGCATTATCTGATCTGAAGGAATACGTGGCAGTAGATGTCTGAGAACAAAATTAAAGCTCATGAGCTTACAAAAATAAATGGACATCATTTGCAACAACATTTCTGAACCCTCTCTCCATTATGCTTACTTTGGTTAGGATTTTTGAGAATGAAATAAATGGTGATAAATGCAGTCATATTTCTCACTGATCCAGCACATATTAGCATTCCTTATATAGAGTGAGGAATTCAGTTTGTCATCTAGCCCAGAGCAGTAGTGGTCAGCATATTGCATTGCTGTGGAAGGAACTGTGAGGATGACTTTTGTACAGGGAACGATGATCTGCTTCCCATCTCTCTACTCTGCAAGGATAGAGTATGTTTTGATGAGTGCATGTTCTAAGGGTGTTTTCAATGATTTCTTTCACTAATGCAAAGAAGAATTACTTAAAAAGAAAGTTATTCATGACTCTTCTTTGAAAATTTTGGAAAAACTGTATTTATTTTCATGGCTGTCTATTTGTAAATAGTACCTTATGCCTGGTGGACTCTGAGCTTCATTAAAGTACTTTACAGCCTTGGATTACAAAGACAAGTAACTTTGTATGACAGTCAATAAAGAGGCTTGTATGCTGCTCTTAGTTGCCTGTGTTGAGATAGGATTTTTAAATTTATATGGATATTTGTATATGAAGATTGGAAGAAGCTTTGTGGGCAGCAGAAGATGCTGAATAAAAATATACAAAAACTGTGAATTTCTGTGCAACAAATACGCTACTTTGAATCAATAATATATTAATTCATATTAAAATGTACGTTCTGTTTACTCAACATTTGCAAGAAGAAGTTATTCTTTTCTTTTAAATCTGCTCACACAGTGGACCAAATCAGACAAGTTTATAGGCATGAGAATCCTTGAACTCTGAAATAGAAGCAACAATCTTCAAAGCCAGGACTAAGAGTAATTCTTCTAAATGTAAATTCAGTAAGGCCAAGTTAGCCAATATGGTGGAAAAGATGAACAATAATAGTGGAGAAGAAAGACATGAATTTGGAAATCACAGTGTGCCATGAAATCAGTGTATCTGTTGAAATGGTTTTTAGCTAGAAGGGTCTCTGTTACTGGAAATGGTGCTGCTGGTGGTATAAACTGAGTGAGACTTGCATTTTAATTTGGGCTTGAGTTTCAAATATTGGTATTCTTGTGATTTCTTAAGGTCAGTTGCACCACATATGGTGTAGGGGTATCTGCAGTAGTCAGGTTGCTGTTATGGCAGAAGGGGTTTCTGTAGTGAAGTTTGTAAAATAATTCCTGTTGCCTTTTTGAAAAAAGCAGTCAACTGAGTGATGAGTTTTGAGGCAGTTTTTATGAATCCTAGTGGTTCCTCAATAAGCATGCTGGAATCAGATACAACCAAGCAGTCTGCATTAACTGCCTGTAGATTCCTTCCTAATAAGGAATCTATTAAGTTGGTGCAGTTTTTCTTGAAGATGCTGAGGATTGGAAATGAAATGTAATGTTCCTTGAGTTACTGATAGGCTGTGGAGTTGACTGTTGATCACTGTGTTAATCACACTGATACACTTTCTACAACTTAGTAGATTGTACATAGTAGATGCACTTAATCAAGGGCAATTTTACCAAAAGTAAAGTGATTTATGTGCATATAATTTTTAATGAATTTTTCTCATGTGTTTCCTTTTCTTGCAATGCACTAGGGGCTGAAAAAGAAGTGGGAGGAAGTGTATAACGAATTTCAGTGTCTTTCAGTAGAAATAGACACTATACCCAAGCAGCTGTATAAAGGAAAGCTGGAATCACAGATGAAGCAACTGGAGCATGACATAGATGTAATTGAGAAGCACAAAGTTATCTACATTGCAAATGAGTAAGGACTGTTTTTCAGACATTGCCTCTTTCTCTACCCTTGTCCATCCAAGAAAAAAAACCCAAAGCTCAAAAGAAGTTGAAATTATTCAGAAGGAAATATTCAAGTAATAGAAATATGCAGCTTCTTAGTTATTTGTAACAGCTTCTCTAATTCTCAACTGTACAACTCATTTTTTTCAAATAAACTTAATATAACTTTATATGAACATGAATTTAATCTATTATTTTTTGTAATTTTTATTGACAACTAAAATGCCTCTAAACATCAGGCATAAAAAAATACTGTTCTGTATTGTATGTATACTGTATGTTTGAGGCACTTCTTTCCTTACACAGCCCAAACTAGGTGGAATAATTGTCTGCTGAAGACACCTTGGTAAACATTCGGAGTGGGGTGGCTTCTGCTCTGGTCAATAAAGAGCTGTTGCATTTTACTTAAATGCTTGAATGATTATATTTCTAAACAGTTTGGTTTCTACACAACGTTTTGTTTATGTAAAAATAATGTGATAATACTGTATTAAATCTACAACTCAAGTAGAAAATTGTGCTTTAATTGCTACTGTATGTGTAACGTTAGAATGAAAACAATATACAAGCACCTGAGTTGTGTAGATAGAAATGATACAGGATTGCATAGTGTACTGCATCTGTTTCCATGAAAAGGAAAAATTCTATTCTTTCCTACTGGTTAACCTTTGCTTCCAGACACAGCTTTTTCTATCTTATATCAATTATTTCCATCAGCAGCTGTTGTGAGATCTTTATAAGTGACATCAGCACAGGATGAAGTCAAGAATTTCAATTGAACTTCTAAAAGCCAAATTTTAAGCCTGTCTGGAAAGGGCTTTGAAGATTTAATGGTGATTCTAGGTTACATTTCTTGTGCATCTTAAGCTTGTCTTTGCATCCGCTAGGGGAGCTTGAGAGACAGATGTCTATTTTGTTGTTTCTCACTTACAGGAAAGCAATAATGTTTACTTTTGAAAAACAAAAAATGTGGGATAAAACTCTTTTCATGAATATGAATTTCGTTTACTGCTTACTCGTGATTTATACAGTATAGTTCAAGAGCACCACTGTAATCACTTAATAACATGCCACTTTATCTGCTAATGAAGTACAGGGCGCCTTTCTTAAAAAATGCTGTACAACCAAACATGACTGTTAGTTTTGACTTCAAAACAGCATGCATTCCCACTGCATCATTCTCAGTTTTAAGTAGGCCATTTGACTGAACTAGGCTGAAGATCTGGATTTGGGTCTTTGTTTTATCATCAGTGCTATCTTAAAATGCAGAGTTGGAGTCTGCATATCCCAAAAGTGAGGAAAAGCAAGTTAGTGTGCAGACCTGAGAGCAGAATTTCTGTTGCTAATGGAAGTTATAATGTTCTTCAGTTATAAAACATTTTTAACTGTCTTCTTAGTTTAAAACAAAATAAAACAAAAACCTATTATATAGAAACACGTCATTTCACACATTTCTTAACATTTCAACATAACATTACAGTGCCTTTTGTTACTTTGTTTTTACTTATAGTTCAATTAGTTTTCTTCAGCCGAAGTTTCAGACCTCCTTCATCTTTATGGCATTCTGGCCATTATGGCAACACAAGCTGGAGGTTTTTTCTGAACAGCTAAGCAATATGTAATTTAATGTAACTAAGAAATTGTGTGTAATAAATATGCAGTTCAAAATTACTATTGCCAGTGATAACCTTCCTATCTAACTGTGACCAGTTTGTATGCAAGTGAAAAAGAATTGATGGGAAAGTAAAACAAACTCAGGATTGATTGAATGCTTTCCTACAAAAAACTGAGTTTAGAATAGTTTGGATTTTTGTGTTTGTTCATTTTACTGTAATTTTTTTCTACGTTTGGCTTTTCTAAATTTTCAGGTGGAAATAATTTCATAATTTCTGGAGATGGGCTGTAGAATTACACTAGTCCTGACTGGATAGGGTTTAGACTTCAGAAATTCAATATATTTTTGCAAATGTGGAAGTTAAATTTCAGCAGGATTATTTATTGTGGACTATGAGTATAATGGAACTAAGTACAGGTGCTGTGGGACTTGACACTTTCTATAATACAGTTAAAACTTCATTTTCAAAACCAGCCACCATTATGGGAGTTCTGTTCACGAGCTATAAGCAGTATTACCAGCTGAAACATTCTCTAATTTCATTACTCACTTACTGATAAGCAATTAAATCATAAGAAAGAAAATAATCAAATTACTTTTGATATGTAATAGTAATTTTTTCAGCCAGCTATTTTTAAATGATCAATACTGCATTGGATAGCCATCATAAGATACACTCTAAAGAAGATATGAATTCTGTATTGGTAAGTAGAAGCTCTGGTGCCACAAACTGAAAATATTTCCTGTTGAAAGTTAAGCATGACAAACTGTGCATCTATTTTCTTAAATATAGCAACATGGAATTATGATGAATATCTGACTGGCTGTTCTTCAGAATGAAACTATTTATATTCAGGAAGTAAGGAATCAGATATGGCATCATCACAAACACAGGGAGTTCCTGATTGCAAGGCTCTGATAGAGCTGCCTCGAGCAAGTGACAGAACTGGTGAAAGCATATGGGCTCCATGTGGCTGAAAGCGTCTTCTCAGGATCTGTGTGCGTGCTTGGACACTAAGTCTGAAGGTAGCTCATCAAAACCTTCCTTGCAGAAGAGTAACTGTATTCCTCTCATTAAATAGTGAGGGTGAAATTCCTCAATAATTTCATTTTCCTAAGTCTCTGTATGTGTCTTGCTTAATTTTGGGGTTTGGTTTGTGGTTTTTGGTTGTGTTTTATTAGGAAGGCACATTCTGGCCTTCTGTGTATTTTTTTGTAAAAAATTGGCATCACAAACAGTTGTAATTGTTCTGCCACACAGCTGAAATGTAGTCCTTTCACTGGCATATGTTTCAGAGTAAACACCAACAGCACTAATGAAGTCATCATTCAGAAAAAAAACTTCACCTATATGCAGGTTAATGGAGGCCTAGATAAATGCTGTTCCTTGGCTGTGCTTTCATCCTCAGTTTTATGATGCTTATAGTATTAAGAATATAATTATAGGAGGGACTGATGGGAAAACCTACTATTAAGGTTCCTTGACATTTCCCATAGTCAGGGAAGCCAGCTGCTGAGTCTGGAGTCTGATAACTAGAGGGGTGTTAAGCCTGACCAAACTCAGTAAGACTGGCCATTGCTCCCTGTGAGTGGATACCAGAGGTAGTCATTTATACTCAGCTGCTGAATTCCCAGATTGTATTTTTATTTCATTCTGCCTTGATCTTGCTCCAGCTCCTTTTTGTTTCATAATGTTATGTAAACACTGTGAGTAAATTCAAAGTTTTCATCCTCCAGGCTAAGCACTGGCATTATGGTATGAACACATGGTGAGTTGAGTTTCTTGTTTGTGTTATCTTTTCTTTGCTGTTCAAATGGTGCTGAGGTAAATACGACTGCTTTTTCACCAAGTTATAAAAAACACACCTAATTTTTTTTTTTTCTAGACTGTATCTCTAACGCCTGTTTGTATGTGAGTGAACATAGCCAAATGGTAGATTGCATTCATTTTGGCTATCTTTGATGCTGCTAAGGGAATGCACTTCTGTTTGATCACAGTACTAACCTGTGTTGTTAATTCTTATCTCATGCCTTCCTCCACAATGACTCCACAGCACAGAGAAATTTGCACAAATGCTAGAGTACCTTTGCCTTCAAATTCTTTCTTAAAGGTTCCTTTCCAGGGATGCCTACTAAGAATTTAACAGCTGGGCTGCTTGTAAATCTGAGATTAGAATTTACTGTGCTGACCTGTGCAGTTTCCTTGAACACCCCAGCACTCTGTAATTATTTGTTCTTCTATTTTGCTTAGATTGTAAATTACTTGTGGTTTGGATCACCTTTTTCTCTCTTTGCATGGGGTCTGGCACAGTAGAACTTTCATCCTTAAACAGAGTTCCTTGGTGCTTGTACAAAAAATAAATACGATCATCTGGGGGTGAATCAAGACCAGGCAATTGAGGGAACAGATTCAAATTGTTTACCGAAAGAATCTGTTCTCTCTGAACACTCATCTCGTTTGTTTCAGCAATTGGAAAATAACAGCTGTAGGAAGAGAAAATTAAGTCACTTGACTTATTCCCTGATGCAATATGATTTAGTCATATATTTGTCATAAGCTGTCTTTGAAATGCAATGGTAAATGTCTTATACCTGGCTTTTTCACTGGTAGCCCTTAATGTAGCATTTCTCATTTTGCAATTTGAGCCCATACGCAAAGTGTGAGTCCCCATATGGAAAATTCTGGTGACTCAACCCTTTAATTCACAGAGCTGTAAGGATGTAAGGATGAATAAGTACCGCTAGAACTGTTCTGAATATTGCTTTGAGAGCCATACTAAAGCTCAGGAAGAAATGTAATAATTTTCTCTTCAGAGGAAAAAATAAGTCGTGTTCAACGTGTGGCTGTAGGTACTGCAGAGTAAAGAAGCAGTCACTTTGCTCTTTGGTCTGTCTTGTACACAGACCATAAAATGAGCAAATGGTCCAGTGCAGCATTCCAGTGCTCTTAGGGTGTGGGTCATTCGGAGCAGCTGAAGAGTGGTGGTTGGCTGGCCATGCACATTTAGCATGCCTGTGCTACAGGAGAGGTGCTGGTCCAGATTCTTTTTTTCAGTATACTTTTATTACTGTTACTGCACTGTTTATTCTAAGCAAGCTGTGAAGTCTACAAAATTACATCAAAGAAGACTGAGCTATTTTGGAAAAAAAAAATCTTTAAACTGTTATTTGTTTACTTGTTTAATACACTATAAAATCTGTTTTGCAGATTTTCTCAAATTTGCTGTAGTTTCTTAGGGGGGGCAGGAGGGGCGGATGGTGAAGAGAAAGCCATGTGAGTATCCTCTTTTAAAAGGAGAACAAACTCTAACAGTTAAATTCAATACGTTGGGTGTGACCCACTATGTATTTACAATGTCCTGACTAGTTCTCATAGCTGTGCATGATGAATTTGTCACAGGATATGATGTGAACAGCTTTTCTTGAAAATAACCTTTTATCGTGCAAACGTCAATACTTCTCAATAGCTGGTTAGGGGAAATATTTGCATAATATTATGAAGGAAATAAAGTTTATTCTAGTATTAAATGACAAAAGGAAATTTTTGTTTGCGTTTATTCCAGCTATAAAGAACTCTGTATAAATAACATGAACCTGAAGAGCAGGATGAGTATCTTCAGGAGCCAGGAAATTACAGACTGAAGATCTTGTTGCTCTAGTCTGGCACAGTGAGATTAATAACAAACAAAAATGTAGTTTCGTATTAAAGATGTTTATCACGGACCAAATCAAAGTCAGTCGCAAACTCTGTCATGCTGTATCTAACGCAGATTTAAAGGCCATTAAAAAACAGACTAACATCTGACTGTCAGCTTTTAAGCATTTTAATGGTATAAAAATTATTCAAATTATTCAGAGGCTACATCAGTCTTGTAGACTCAGTACTGGCTAACTGTGATAGCTAAGTGCTCTGAGTTCCATTTGTGGATCTTAGATGCTGCTATAGAGGTGAATTTTCCAGTTACCAAAGATGTTAATTCTACTGAATTCAAACACAGAAATTTGTAGCACCACTCCATTAGCTGCTATAGCACAGTAGTCATAAAGGGAAGTATAGCATCCATGCTGCTGTAGGCTGCTGTGATTTCCTAGGCACTTGGATGCAGGGGGTAGTTTGAAATGCCGCTTCACATTCTCACAGACATTACTAACAATCTGGCAAATAGTTTTTGCTGCCCTCCAGGTCTTCAGCAGTCACCCTGTGGACTAACAACTGCCTCAGGTAATGCAGAAGAGCTCGGAATTCTGGAATACATTAAAGCTGGATATGAAAGCAGTTCTGAATTGTTTTCAGCATACCCTGAAGTAATGTGTCTGCTAAACTTAATGTTGTCTTCAGTGAGCATTTTACCTAAAAGGTAAATAATTGGGGTGGCAGTGGTGGTGGTGATCACTTATAACAACAAATAGCAAATGCCAGTTTATGCTTCCTAAGATTGTTTACAGTACTGCTATTCCCATAACAACTGCAGCAACAGGCAGAAGCAGAAATAAGACATCTTCATCCTCTAATTGGCAAGCTTCTACCTAGGTAACCTATAACTCTTGAAATATTCTGGATTTTCATGCTTTTCTTGTTTATTTTTGGTGTTTACATATTAAATTGTGTTGTCAAATGTTTATTATGGCTTCTTGGGAGGGGAATACATAATGGAGCTTCTAAGGCTAACAGATAACCCTGTGATAATGTTTGTCTTGGACTGTTTTCTTGTTTTTGCCAGCCTCCTATTTTCAGTATTTCTTTATGTTATAGTTGTGGAAGGGTGGATACTTGTGCTGCCTTCATCAGTAACAGAATAAGAGAGGAAAGGATGTGTAACTGAAATTACAAAGTTAGTTCTGTGAAGGCTCAAGATATAAATACTGTTCACAAGGGATTTGTATATATGTTCCAAACTCTGTTTTGTTTCTTTGGGTGTCACTTTTTCCGTCTGCTGCTTTATGATTTTTGGCTATGTGTCCAGACCTACTTGTTAGTATGAGTTCACTGTTCTACTCTATTTTCTTTGTTCTTTTCCCCTTTGATCATTTCCCATGGTTGTATGTCTTAAAGTGT